TTGGTTCTTGACATCCTTTACGATCGGTTGCGATGCCTAGAGTACGGAGACCTGTACGATTTCGTCAACTTAGTGAGTTTGATAGGGGCCGTATAGTGGGACTTCGGGAAGCTGGACTTTCTTTTCGGGCAATTGCAGTTAGAGTGCAAAGAAGTGTAGACACTGTGGTTAGGTGTTGTCAGGCATGGCTTCGAGAAGGCCGTACGCAAAGAGCAAGGGGCACTGGACGCCGCCGTAGAACAACAGACCGTGAAGATTGCCGCCTAAGATTATTGGCCTTAAGGGACCGTTTCTCCACTACCAGGTCCATTGCAAATGAATGGTTTGCAGAACACGGAAGACCTATTGGCATGCGAAGTGTTTACCGACGAATGAGAAGTTTTGGCTTGTTTTCATACCGGCCACACTGGGTCCTCCCTTTAACTCGAGAACACCGACGTAATCGCCTTGAGTGGTGCAGACAACGGTCACTCTGGGATCAGGAATGAAACAGTATTGTCTTTAGTGACGAGTCTCGATTTTGTTTAGGCATGCACGATGGTCGTGCCAGGGTTAGAAGGCGACGTGGTGAAAGGAGGAATCCACAGTTTTTTGTTGAAAGACATGTTCATAACACTGTTGGAGTTATGGTTTGGGGTGCTATAGCTTATGGTTCCAGGTCACCTTTAATCTTCATCAGAGGTAACATGAACGCGCAGCGTTATATCTACGAAGTTTTCCCCCTGGCAGATCCAACTTTCCAACAAGATAATGCCCGACCACATGTTGCAAGAGTCACAATAGACTTCTTTCAACATAATGATGTCACATTGTTACCATGGCCACCAAGATCTCCCGACTTATCCCCAATTGAGCACGTGTGGGATATGATGGGTAGGAGATTGCTCAATTTGCAACATCCTCCTCAGACTCTAGAAGCACTTCGAGAGGAGTTGGTGGTTGCCTGGAATGAGATACCATAGGAGGACATTGACCACCTGATCAGAAGCATGCCTAGGCGCGTTGGAGAATGCGTAGCACATCAGGGTGCATCCACACATTATTAAAGGTCAAAGGGCTTTAAAGCAGTGCAATCATTTTGAAATTTTTATCATTTACTTATTATGCTTCATTAAGTACTTAAACAAAATTTTATTAAAATAAAACCATTTAAACTGGGTGTTCGGATTTATATGTCACTTAGTATACCTATACAGGGTGACTTCGAAGTTGAGTCATTTATTTTAACAGTGAGTAGATCTGATCAAAAGAAATGTTTTTTTCCTTTACCATTTTCCTGGTAAAATTAAAGTAACAAAGTTATAGCCCTTTGGAAGTTTGAGTACCGCCCTGTCTCAATAATAATATTATATGGTCGTGTTTGGCGACAACGGATATAATCCGCCGTATCGGTTCATCGCATCGGAAACAAAAAAGCGAAAGAATTTGGAACGTTGTTTTTACAAGTATTTCATTCATTTGTATACAGTCAGTGTTAGTGAATAGTGGTATCTGTTGCGTGGCTCAAACGAAATAAAAAATGGCACATGTTTATGCGGATCGGTTTCCCAATCGAGTGCAACCAACCCCTCGTGCCTTTGTTAATGTAGTACAACGGGCTCATGAATCAGGTGACTTAAGACCTCACAGGGGACCTCACGATCAAATACAGGTCCGCACTGGAATACTTGTCGGGAGGATACTTTATAAAACAAGGTAAAAATTTTTTTTAATTTTTTTTTATTTTTACACACACATTTTGGTGTATCTTCCTTCTACAATCATTATCTGAAAATTAATGACTCAACTTTACATACAGGGTGACTTTGAAGTTGAGTCATTAATTTTCAGATAATGATTGTAGAAGGAAGATAAACCAAAATATGTGTGTAAAATAAAAAAAAATTAAAAAAAAATTTTACCCTGTTTTATAAAGTATCCTCCCGACAAGTATTTCAGTGCGGACCTGTATTTGATCGTGAGGTCCCCTGTGAGGTCTTAAGTCACCTGATTCACGAGCCCGTTGTACTACATTAACAAAGGCACAAGGGGTTGGTTGCACTCGATTGGGAAACCGATCCGCATAAACATGTGCCATTTTTTATTTCGTTTGAGCCACGCAACAGACACTATTCACACGCGACTGACACTGACTGTATGTAAATTGTACAAATATCGTTCCAAATTCTTTCGCTTTTTTGTTTCCGATGCGATGAACCGGTAAAGCGGATTATATCCGTTGTTGCCAAACACGAGCACATGATATTGAGACAGGGAGGTACTCAAACTTCCAAAGGGCTATAACTTTGTTACTTTAATTTTACCAGAAAAATGGTAAAGGAAAAAAACATTTCTTTCGATCAGATCTACTCACTGTTAAAATAAATGACTCAACTTCGAAGTATATATAAATATGAAATATAAAATTCTATAGAATTGAGGTTTGGAAAACGGACGTCGAGATACAAGAATCAAAAATTAAAATTTTAAAAAGAGAGGGATAGTTCTTTGAAATGTAGACAGCGACAGGGTACTGTTACGAATAAAAAAACTAGTAGGATACCACTGATACAGCAAATCTCCCACGATGAAATAATTCAAAACGAAAATGCTTATCTTAAGTTTCTAAATTTGAATTTGAATATCTCAAGATGAAAGTCACAAAGTGAGATTTTCTACATGAGAGCTAAGACATTAGTCTCTTGTTTGGCTTGGTCGCCGGTCATCTACAGGGTGTCCGAGATAAGGATCCTATGATATTCATTAGGCAAAAGTTACGTTCTTTGGAGCGTTAAGAAACTTATAAAAATTCCATGACTTACTGAGATATTTGGGAAAAACTAAAATTTGAAAGTCATTTTTATTTTTTCCTGACTTGTATATCAATATCAAAGAACTAACGAAACTTTTCCATTGGTACCTTTTAGGCACCACTTTTAAACTTTGTGCCCGACATTTCGTTTTTGAAAAACCGTCATCAACTTTATTTTGTTGATATGGTCCGAAAAAAGTACACCCTGTATTTTTTTATACAAATTCAACGATGTATCCCATTTATTTCCTTGGTTATAAGGACAAATTACTTAGACGTTGCAAACAAATGCTTGACTTGACGCAAATACCTGTCACCGAGTATTGTGATTACTGTGTATTGTTGATAGCTTTATTACCGTTAAAGATGTTGACGTGCTACATTTTGTGCTACAAAGATACTAAACATACTGCAAAAATGTATCTTGAGTTTCCCGAAAGAAGACAGCCAAGTAAGTCCGTTTTCTTAGTGTTGACTCGAAATTTAAATGAATATGGTTCATTCAAAAAGCCTGTTACGTATCGAAAAAAGGAATTTTTATAGAAAACTTCTTATGGCCGCCATATTGGATTTTTGAGCAGATGCATAGAGTTTTTACTTCTGATTTCAAAAATATCTCGTATATTAAAAAACAGAAAAGTCTCTAGGTAGGCCGTCTCTGTCCCTAAGTACTTTGAATTTCGAAACTTTCTAAGAAGTATTTACTCGTAGTTATTTACCTAAATACGCATCTTTGCCTCATTTGAAACACCCTGTATATATCATGAACAACGTATAATTTTTATATTTCGTTGTTAAAGTTATTTAAAACTGGCATATCAGAAACCCTAAGCTCTACCATACTGCATTTGTTACGATTTTTTTATTTGTTGGTAACTGAGAATTGGAGAAGAGCCATAGACTCAGAAGAAGTTGTCATAGCAGTATTTTTGGATTTGAAGAGGGCATTTGAAACGATTGATATAGATATTTTGTTAGGTAAATTGAAGGCATATGGTATAACAGGAAGTGTTTTAGATTGGTTTAGAAATTAATTGTCTAAAAGGATGCAAGTTACAAAAGTTAATGACACTATTTCATCAAAAATTGAAAATACGTTGGGTGTTCCACAGGGCAGTATCCTGGGACCACTTCTTTTTATTTTATACATAAATGATTTACCTACCAGTCAAAAAATGCAAAATTCAAATTTTCGCCGATGACACTATGATTTATATAAGTAGGTACTAAAAATATTCAATCTGGTATCTCTTATATAAATGAAGACTTGAAGCTTGTCTCAAAATGGTTAGCATCTAACAGACTAAAATTAAATGCAAGTAAAACGAAAGCCTTGTTAATCGGAAAAAACAATGTACAAATGTTCAACTGAATATTGATGGTGAAGATATTGAATTCGTAGAAAATTTTAAATACCTGGGGGTTTTTGTTGACTCTCGAATAATTTTTGATATTCATTATGAAAAAGTTATAAATAAGATTAGTAGTAAAGTGGGATATTTATCGAGAGTTTCTGGATGTCTGAGTTCATATAGCAGAAAAATTATCTATAATACCATCATTCTTGTACTGTTCGACTATTCTATATTTAGCAAATAATTCCATTTTTGAAAGACTGCAAATTTTACAAAATAAGTGCATGAGAATAATACTAAATAAAGATAAATATACTCCAATTAGGCAAATGCTTAGCAAATTAAAATGGCTCAATGTAAAAATTTTTATCAAATATCTTGTAATGATATTCATTTATAAAGTAAAAAATAATATATTTCCATCAAGTCTAACTAATTTAACATCATCAAATGTCGACCATCATTTACATAATACCAGAAATAAAGATGACTTCCATTTAATGACCAAAAAGTATAACATATGCTACAAATCTGTATTCCATCAAGGGTTGATTGAATATAATAAATTATACTCGGGGATAAAAGACCAGAAAACTTTGACAAAATTTAAAGTAAAATTGAGAAATCACTTGTTAAATCTACAATTATAGGTTGCCCAGCATTTACATCATACACCATATGGCTTGAATTTACTAGTTCTAAGTTGTTTACAATTGTTCTGTTTATGTAGCCAAATGTGCTAAATAAATATTTCTACTACTACTACTAAGCGTTTATAGATCTTTTTTACGCAGCATCATTATTTGAGATACCCAATATAGTTATTGAAAATGTAAAAATTATAATATACTCACGAATGTGAACAGTTTCACTAAAGGCGAAATCACATCTACACTATACACTGTACTGTCATTGCAACTAGCCCATGTGAAAGTCGTCACTATATCTGTTAGAGTCACTATAACTAGCGCACCGGTTAAAACAATTTTCGCCAAGTTCCTCCAGTTCCATGGTATATCCCTGTTTTTGCTGTTCAGGATGAAATAGACGTCTAAGGGTGATAAGGCCCACAGGAAGATGCAGGGCACCCAAACAAGGGCGGTTTTCTCGAAACATTTGGTCAGTTCTGGGTCTAAGGTATTCCAGCTGAGGTCGTCATCCTGTTGAAAATAAATAATTAAAAAATCATGAGTATAAATTCTAATTTCCCAGTGCTACCCTATTCTTACAGTTTTATTTGCAAATACATCAAGAGAAAGCAATTGCGTGAACCTTATTTTCAAAAATATCGTTTTTCTTAGTGGTTTACTATCGCTATTTAGATATTATAACCATAAATCGTACTCATGGTGTTATGAATTCTGATGAATTTTGCAATATTATTTGTTGTATTACGAGGATAATTTGGCCCTAAATAGATTGAAATTTTTAGGTCCAGTAGCGTCTCGGGGGCATCCTGGCGCATATTATTGGCAAAGAAATGTACGCCACTGCCTTTTTTGTAACTTAAATATTTGTTGTTTGATTAAGCATCTCTTCTTTGTTAATTGTATTTTTTCGTATCTCGCTTCGTTTCCGAGAAAAAAAATAAAAACCGTTTTATTGCATGTCACTGGACAAAATTGGTTTATTAATTTTTGCTAAAAGAATCACAAGTGCCTTGGACAACAAAAAATCATGTCTGCATGGAGGTTTGACATTTGCCCGTCATGTTCATCTAGAAAAGAATTATACACGTAATTTTCTTTGCGAAATTTCTGTAAAAGGTTTTTGTCTCGGTTTTTGAGGCAATGGCAGACATGCATGTAAGGTATGCACGTGCTTATACGAGCCCCTTCCCACTTCAGTTGGCCCAACTATTAAAATCTTAGTTTTTTCCTTATCAAACACAAATAATAAAAATGTAGCAGGGTGTTATAGGTTTAAAATATTAACAATGAATATTTTGATAATATATAGTAGAAATCACCAACTTTATCACTCCCTAATCAAATTTGCAGCATAAAAATAACACATGTTGCAATTTCAGCATATCAACCTATTTCCATTTCAATGCAAAATAAATCTATAACGCATAGGTGGCTGTGAAAAATAAAAGCCATGACAATTGTTTTTATTAATCACAGCTGTCAGAATACGTTTAAAATAGTTTTGGGTAGTTAAGGTTTTCAAAATGGGTAGAGGAAAGGTTATTAGTGAGAAAATTCGGTTACTGATAATTAAATTTTTTAATTCTGGGAAATCAAACTCAGAAATTGCAACTTTGTTACACTTATCGCGGTACAGTGTGAGAAATATTGTTAGAAGATATAAAGTAACTGGTTCACTTAATATTAAGCCACGATATGTGAAAAAAAGTAATATCACAAATGCCGACCGAAGAGCATTAAGAAGAATAATCGTGACAAACAGGCGTGCCAATTATTTACAATCAAGTGTTCTGTGGAGTGACGCTGTTGGAAGGAGAATTTCGAGGTCCATAACTCATAGAGAGGCCCATAAACTGGGATCTAGTACTTGCAAGGTAAGTTTTCTTATAAAAAAAAGTGAAGCAAAAACTCTAAAGTTGCACAACTTGTTTATAGGCCAAAGAAAAGCCACTATTAACTCCACTGCAAAAGAAAAATCGGCTTAGATGGGCTAAAGAACATAGACAATGGACACCTCAACAATGGTGTCCAATACAATGGAGTGATGAGGCCCGATTCGAAGATTGTGTTGGTGACACTCGCAGTAGAGTTATTCGCAACAAAATTAAGCATTCCATGTTGACTGACTGAAGAGAAAAGTGAAATTTCCAGCATCCATTATGGTCTGAGGCAGTATGTCATCAAAAGTAGTAGGAAAACTTCATTTTATTGATGGAAATGTGGATACAAACAAATATTTGGGACTTTCAGAAGAATCGCTTTTACCAGTGATGGAAGAATGTTTGACATCCGGCCAAGATTTTGTGTTTCAGCAAGATGGTGCAGCCTGCCATACCTCAAAAAAGGCTATAAAATGGATGGAAGAAAATAATGTACCACTTTTGAAATGGGTTTCTAGCAGTCCAGATCTGTCACCTATTGAAACTTTGTGGCACGAGATGAAAAAGGTTCTACGACAACATCCTGCTCGTACAATCACCGAACTGAGACAAAAGCTTCAAGAAATATGGGATTGTTTTACACCAAATTTTAAGACTATGCCCCAAAGAATTTCAGCCATATTAAAAAATAAAGGTGATGTTACCCAATCTTTCAATTGTTGCTTTGTTAACTTCGCGCATTTATTCGCACAATGTTTATTTGTTCAGATGTTCTGTTAGTTATAGGTCTAAGTGATTTCAAATATGTATTTTTTACGACTAGAGTGTATCTAAAATGTTTTTGAGAAAATAAATTGATTTAGAAGTAAATGTGTAGTTGCGTCATGTTTAGTTTATAAATGCATATTTTGGTACAAATCTTGGGCACAGTCCACAGGGTGCCAGCGATCCACTTTTTTAATTTTATCCACTAGGATCTTTTTAAAATATCAAGAAGTTGAGCACAAATAGTGAGCATTTCAACCCACCATAATTCTTGCGCAAAGACAAAATTTTGTAAAAAGCTCTGATAGCACCCTAGGCAATTATGGCCTGCTTATATCCAGAAAAACATCACAAACTGCAGAACTCAAAAGGTAACGGCGAAATGGGTACATTTCACGGGTTATGAAATTCAAATGAAAATGCAGGTATAAAATCTACTAAATGATCGTTCTCAAAAACATATTTCCTTGACATATCGATAATTTTAAAGTTAAACGCTAAATTCCCCTATACTTGACTGGAGTGATATCCGAATTTATTTTTCTCTACTGTCGGTAGTTCTGTTGGCTGTTGGTGTCAAACCTACAGAGCAGGTACCGATTTTTTGACATCGTGAGCACATTATTCGTCGAATTTTCGATACTTAAATTTCCTGCAATCACTGGAATCAGAAGCTTCTTATTAATAGAACGTGTTTCACTGATTTCAGCTCCCCCCTTTTTAAGCAGTACAATTTTTTATGTCAATGATTAGGAACCCCTGAAACGTCAAAAACGGAGTTTCAGCAATTGTTACTTTTTCTTTTTTGCCTATAGCACCGTTGCCACTGGACTAAAACTACAAAGCTTTGGCATACTAGTAACCCCGTGTGGAAATTTCATAAAAATCCGAGCGGTAATTTCCCAGTTGATGATGAGTGATACAGTTTTTCGTGATGTAGATGTCATATGACTTAAAAAAACATAACATCTCATTTTAGAAATTTTTCTCGATCACAATACTTCCTCGCCAATGACGTGGGAAGTAAAACGGCTGTAAAATCGAGGAGTATCAGCGATCACGATTATGAGTACCTATTTGCAGAACGACTTATCTACGCGATATTATATGAAATAGGGCCACCAAATTATCTGAATACGTCCTTTCTTAGTCCGAACATTGCGCCGCAACGCTTGGTTTGGCAGCACGAAACAGTAGACAAAATTCGTCCAAAATACGATTTGTAGAGGTTTGCGCGCTTCGAAATTGTCGCTTTATTTTTTGATATTTTTGGATGAAATTTTCAGAGTTCTGAAAACAAAACCCCACAGGGTGCTATAGAGACACTTTTTCATTTTTTTCACTAGGTTCTTTTTAAAAAAATCGCAGAGTTGAACAGAAAAAGTGCGCACTTCATCATAAAACTTGTGTAAAAACAAAATTTCAAAAAGTGCTCCTATAGCACCCTGGGCAATTCTCTTCACCACATACTGTATGATTTTCATTCAAAAATATTGAAAAATGGAATGTCAGTTTTGAAGCAGCTGAACCCTTGTAAATGGCTTGAAACTCACTGCGTCGGAGCCGCCTTAACACACGACGTATCATTCTAACAACGAGTTCCTTGTACAAACTCATTCACGGGGACATAATATGTGAATTTTTGTAAGGTAAAATTCCATTTACCGTTCCCAGACGCAACACCAGAAATTCTAGAGTATTTTATTGTGAATGTAACAGCTGTGACATCAATTTTTCCCCTATCTCGCTAGTTTATAGTTCTATTTTGCAGATCACATTTAATATGTAACTTTTTCGAAATACCTTTTTATATTATTCAAGTGTTTATTTTTATATAACATTAGTTATATTTTTTCTTTTACATAAAACGAAATGTTCATTTTATACAATTTTCTATTATTTTAAAGTAATAACGAAGCCTCCGCAAACTCAATTTTAAACAAATAATAGTTATTTTTTCATTTTTTTCCCGGGGGAAAAAGTAATTTCATAAAAAGTGACATTTTGTTACCTGTCAACAGGGATAAATGTCAAACTTTTTTCCTGTCACAGAAAAAGGAATTTAAGTATCAATAGTGCTTAGACGATAACATAAACACTGTTAAAAATCTAAGCTCATGAGCATGGAGTAAAGCTTTTAATATCAATCAAGACCATAAAAATCTTTTTGTAAATATATGGCACTGGAAATGGCAATATATTCTTGATATGTGTTAGAAATACTTGTTGCACGGTTGCGTCATATACTTTGTCACAATCGCAACTGATTTGGTCCAGACTTGGAGCCAGAATGCGTCACAGACTCTCTCTTAATTTTGATTAGATTCTAAAATTAGATTAAAAATATCACATTCGAAAGTAAAGTAAATACACCTTTTGGCAACTTCAAGGTTGGCGTGATTTTGACCATTATGTACGAGGGCGGTTCAACAAGTACCCGTGTTTGACGACAGAGTGCGTTCCTGAGCGAAGTTAATGTTATCATCGTGTGCTGCCATCTATCAAACAACGGCGCAACAAATTTCAGACTGATTGATAGGTTAGTTTGGATTTGGCAGTCATTCGAGTAACACGTGTTTCGTGATTTTCGCTAAGGTGGAAAAAAGAGCAGTATCATTCGTAATTCGCTTTTTGTTTTTGGGTGGGAAAAAATGGGAGGAGTCAAAAGCAAAGTTGGATGCTGTATATGGAGACACTTCGCCATCTATGACCACAGTTAGATATTGGTTCAACAAATTTAAACGTTGGCGATCATCGTTTTTGATGAGGAACGACCAGGACGCCTGGCAGACGTGGTTACTGAGGAAATCATTCAAAAAGTCCACGACATGATTCTCGCTGATCGTCGAACGAAAATGCGCGATGTAGCAGAGGCCGTAGGTGTGTCGACGGGAACGGCAATCAATATTTTACATGATAAGTTGGCTATGAAAAAATAGTCGGCCCGATGGGTGCCGCGATTGTTCACGGTAATCAACAAGCGGATGCGGCAGTTAACTTCAAAGAAGTGTTTGGAACCTCCGAACTAACAATTATCACTCCTGTTAGAGTTGCAATAATGATTATACAGTATTCCTTAAACAGCATTGTATACTGTAAGAACATTGGCAAAACCCTCTTAGAACAGCTATCAAGCGGAATGGGCACACCTAATAGGACAGTTCAGTCATTTAAGAGGTTGTATAAGGGCTGCAGGTAACAGTTATAAAACAAAAGTGTAAGCCTCTTGCAGCCGCTATAGGACATTTGCGTCAGTGTAAGATTCAGTTTTTGTCAACTATACAACTATTCTGTTACGTGATTCTACTTTATTGCAACAAAACTATTTCTGATGTATTGTATAGACGAAGTGAGGAATATATAACAATACATTACTGTCATCTTGTTTACATTATCGGCCATTGTGAATTTCATACACAGGTATATGATTAACTTCTACACCGTGATATAGGGCTATTGAATTACTTGCGCAGCAAATTTTATTGTGATTATCGTGCAAATTAGTTACCCAATTTCTACGGGCTTCGTATTTGATTCATACTTTGACAATGATCAAAAGTATGTCTAGATTTTGAAGATGGAAAACTGAACTTATCTGCGTTAAATCGTTCACAAATCCTATATTTAGACACAATTACACTAATGTTTATCTCTTTATATACTAAGTGACATATAAATCCGAACACCCAGTTTAAATGGTTTTATTTTAATAAAAGTTAGTGAATGTATTTATCTTACTGTAAATAACAAGTGAAAAAATCTTCAGCCTTATCAGTTGGACATTCCGGTTTAAATACTTAAATTTTTTTTAATTCACTAACGCTCTAAAACTGAATATTTCAGCCGCAGTAAAGAATCAACGTTGGCGGATTTTGGTTCTTGACATCCTTTACGATCGGTTTCGATGCCTTGAGTACGGAGACCTGTACGATTTCGTCAACTTAGTGAGTTTGATAGGGGCCGTATAGTGGGACTTCGGGAAGCTGGACTTTCTTTTCGGGCAATTGCAGTTAGAGTGCAAAGAAGTGTAGACACTGTGGTTAGGTGTTGTCAGGCATGGCTTCGAGAAGGCCGTATGCAAAGAGCAAGGGGCAATGGACGCCGCCGTAGAACAACAGACCGTGAAGATCGCCGCCTAAGATTATTGGCCTTAAGGGACCGTTTCTCCACTACCAGGTCCATTGCAAATGAATTGTTTGCAGAACACGGAAGACCTATTGGCATGCGAAGTGTTTACCGACGAATGAGAAGTAGTGGCTTGTTTTCATTCCGGCCACACTGGGTCCTCCCTTTAACTCGAGAACACCGACGTAATCGCCTTGAGTGGTGCAGACAACGGTCACTCTGGGATCAGGAATGGAACAGTATTGTCTTTAGTGACGAGTCTCGATTTTGTTTAGGCATGCACGATGGTCGTGCCAGAGTTAGAAGGCGACGTGGTGAAAGGAGGAATCCACAGTTTTTTGTTGAAGGACATGTTCATCACACTGTTGGAGTTATGGTTTGGGGTGCTATAGCTTATGGTTCCAGGTCACCTTTAATCTTCATCAGAGGTAACATGAACGCGCAGCGTTATATCCACGAAGTTCTAGAACCCCATCTTTTACCCTATCTTGACACCCTGGCAGATCCAACTTTCCAACAAGATAATGCCCGACCACATGTTGCAAGAGTCACAATAGACTTCTTTCAACATAATGATGTCACATTGTTACCATGGCCACCAAGATCTCCCGACTTATCCCCAATTGAGCACGTGTGGGATATGATGGGTAGGAGATTGCTCAATTTGCAACGTCCTCCTCAGACTCTAGAAGCACTTCGAGAGGAGTTGATGGTTGCCTGGAATGAGATACCACAGGAGGGCATTGACCACCTGATCAGAAGCATGCCTAGGCGCGTTGGAGAATGCGTAGCACATCAGGGTGCATCCACACATTATTAAAGGTCAAAGGGCTTTAAAGCAGTGCAATCATTTTGAAATTTTCATCATTTACTTATTATGCTTCATTAAGTACTTATACAAAATTTTATTAAAATAAAACCATTTAAACTGGGTGTTCGGATTTATATGTCACTTAGTATATCTGTAATTTCGAACTGAAACATAATTATTTAATATTCAATAGAGGAATAAATGTTTGCTCAATATGGCGGGTGGTTGTGTACAATCATGGCATCGTCTATGTTGTCTTTAGGTTATTAGAATATTTTGGTGTTGCCTGCAGGAGATATACAACAATTTGAAAAATGTCTGAAATGAAATACCGACAGAGTCGAATGATTTACCCAGAATTTGTACCAGATCTATATCTTCTGTTTGAACAGTTGATAAAACCTTTTGAACCAATATGCATGCGTTGTTTGCCTTAAAACATTGGTTATGGCATTTTACAAAAATATGACAGCAGAAAGTTAGGTTATGGTGAAGTTGTTTACCAACATATTTAGCATATGTACAGGCTATAACAGTTACTAAACAACAGTTGTATAAGTGCTTCCGTTGGGAGCAATTTGTTGGCTAAAGTAGTAAATTGCACAGCAAAACAATAAGGCTCGGGTTTGTTTTATAAACGTTACAATGGATGCCACAACACAACGATTTTGACTAACGTGCAAATATGCCGTATAAAATAGTTGTATAAACGTTTATGCAACAGTTAAAAATTTGCCCTATAAGATGTTGTATAACTATGCTATAAGAATATTTTAAACACCTCATTTTAGAGCAAATATGTTGCAGAAAGCAAATTTGCATTCCACACAACATTAAGCCAGCATTTTGGTGTTCAGGCAACAACAATAGAGAGCTTTTATGGCTGAACGGTTCTTTTACCAAAAGCTTATACCACTACTTTGCTAGTTGGGCTGGATTCATCATTACACACCAGAAACTAAGCAACAATCAAAACAATGTATTTCTCCCAGTAAATCTGTTCCAAAGAAGGCGAAGATGGTCGCATCGGCCGGAAAGGTCATGGTGACGATTCTTTGGGATGCGAACGGCGCCATCCTCGTGGAGAACGATCACTGTAGTTATTTGATCGCTTCGACAAAAAATTGAGGGAGACACGGCCACATTTGACCAAAAAAAACATTCATCCGGAGTTGTCGCCGCTAAAGTGCATGAATTGCGTTATGAAGTGCTACCGCGTATTCACCCGATCTGGCCCGCTGCGACTTTTTCTTGTTCCCTGACATGAAGAAATGGCTCGTGGGGAACAAATTTACCTCAAACGAGGAAGTCATCGTATTTTGGACAGTTCCACAAACCATATATTTTGGTCGGGTTAAAAAATTGCAGGAATGGTGGGAAAAGTGTATCTTTCAAAAAGGGGATTGTGTGTTGAAAAATAAAAAGAAAAAACGGTGTCTTCATTTCTAACACGGGTACTTATTGAACCGCCCTCGTACGTTATATAAAAAAATAAAGCGCACATCGAGTGTTGAGATGTTTGTGATACAAAAAGTGTCTCAAGGTGAAGTAAAGCTAGGCAGGTTTATCACACGATTAAAATTCGATAGTAACAGATATGCTAAGTACACATTACTCAAATCATTTAGCTACCTCCGAATAGATCCTATTACATTAATGTGAAAATATGGATATCTCTATTGCACTCACCCAAAACTTAGATCCACAAAATTCGTCCATTTGTAGTTCACGGTTTAACTGAAATCATGAAAAAATCAAAGCCATAGAGAGGGAAAGATTATAAGAGGTATTTGTTATATATCATTTGTACACTTGATTATAATTACAGATAAGAAACGTAACGTTCGTGTAACATGATCGTACTAGTATTGATCGTTCTATTTCAGATGTTATACTAGTATCATTTTTCACTGTAAATAATATCATGCCTATACAGGGTGTTAATTAAGTATGTACCATAAATTTAACAGACGGTTCTTTGAATAACTCCAAGACAAAAGGTTCATATAAACATGGGTCCGCAAATTATTTGTTCTAAATATAAAATTTGAAAAAAATTGTATTTCGTAAATATCTTAAATATCCTTTACCTAATTTAATTGTAATTTCTCGATGGTACTTACAATATTATGGAGCTAATTTAGCCCTAGCTTTATTGAGTCCAGTGGCGTCTCGAGCGCGATCTCACTAATACTTGTGACGAAAAAATTACTTTTTGCAATTTTTATTATATTCTTTGGATTGAGCAAATAAAAATACAACTTTTTTGTCTATTGATTTTTTTTAATTTTGCGTAGTTTTCGAAAAAAAAAAGTCCACCTAACTGCATATTCCTGGACCACACAAGGAATATGGGGCAAAGCTTCTTTTGGAAATGATGTTTTTTGTGACTAATTATTTAACTACAATGACAACAAATATTAAATAACTATAACAGAATTAGTACTAAAGAATTCTAAAATATACTAAGTGACATATAAATCCGAACACCCAGTTTAAATGGTTTTATTTTAATAAAATTTTGTATAAGTACTTAATGAAGCATAATAAGTAAATGATAAAAATTTCAAAATGATTGCACTGCTTTAAAGCCCTTTGACCTTTAATAATGTGTGGATGCATCCTGATGTGCTACGCATTCTCCAACGCGCCTAGGCATGCTTCTGATCAGGTGGTCAATGTCCTCCTGTGGTATCTCATTCCAGGCAACCACCAACTCCTCTCGAAGTGCTTCTAGAGTCTGAGGAGGACGTTGCAAATTGAGCAATCTCCTACCCATCATATCCCACACGTGCTCATTTGGGGATAAGTCGGGAGATCTTGGTGGCCATGGTAACAATGTGACATCATTATGTTGAAAGAAGTCTATTGTGACTCTTGCAACATGTGGTCGGGCATTATCTTGTTGGAAAGTTGGATCTGCCAGGGTGTCAAGATAGGGTAAAAGATGGGGTTCTAGAACTTCGCGGATATAACGCTGCGCGTTCATGTTACCTCTGATGAAGATTAAAGGTGACCTGGAACCATAAGCTATAGCACCCCAAACCATAACTCCAACAGTGTGATGAACATGTCTTTCAACAAAAAACTGTGAATTCCTCCTTTCACCACGTCGCCTTCTAACCCTGGCACGACCATCGTGCATGCCTAAACAAAATCGAGACTCGTCACTAAAGACAATACTGTTCCATTCCTGATCCCAGAGTGACCGTTGTCTGCACCACTCAAGGCGATTACGTCGGTGTTCTCGAGTTAAAGGGAGGACCCAGTGTGGCCGGTATGAAAACAATCCAAAACTTCTCATTCGTCGGTAAACACTTCGCATGCCAATAGGTCTTCCGTGTTCTGCAAACCATTCATTTGTAATGGATTTGGTAGTGGAGAAACGGTTCCTTAAGGCCAATAATCTTAGGCGGCGATCTTCACGGTCTGATGTTCTACGGCGGCGTCCAGTGCCCCTTGCTCTTTGCGTACGGCCTTCTCGAAGCCATGCCTGACAACACCTAACCACAGTGTCTACACTTCTTTGCACTCTAACTGCAATTGCCCGAAAAGAAAGTCCAGCTTCCCGAAGTCCAACTATACGGCCCCTATCAAACTCACTAAGTTGACGAAATCGTACAGGTCTCCGTACTCTAGGCATCGTAACCGATCGTAAAGGATGTCAAGAACCAAAATCCGCCAACGTTGATTCTTTACTGCTGCTGAAATATTCATTTTTAGAGCGTTAGTGAATTAAAAAAAAGCAGTATAAAAACCGGAATGTCCAACTGATAAGGCTGAACATTTTTTCACTTGTTATTTACAGTAAGATAAATAGATTCACCAACTTTTATTAAAATAAAACCATTTAAACTGGGTGTTCGGATTTATATGTCACTTAGTATAAATAATTTCCAAAAGAAACCTTTTCCCATATTCCTTGTGTGATCCAGGGATATGCAATTAAGTGGACTTTTTTTCTCGAAAACTAAGCAACATACGAAGAAGATTTAAGAGACAAACGAGTTGCATTGCCGTTTGCTTAATCCCAAGAACGTAATAAAAAAATTGCACAACAGTCAGTGGCCTACTTTTTTTTTCACAAATGTTCGTTCAGATCCCGCGGCACCCAACTTGATAAATGTAATCAAGAAGTTGGAGCTAAATTGATTCCTTAATGTCATAAATACCACCGCCAAATTACAACAAAATTAGGTAAAGGATATTTAAGATACTTACGGAAAAAACATTTTTTTTAAAATGTCAACACCCTCTATCTTGAGATCGAAGAATTTGCGGACCTAGGTTTAGAGAAAAAAAATAAATTGTAACTACCAGCAGCCGGCAGCCACTTTTTCAAGCAGACAAAATAGGAGAAACAAGATAACAAAGAGTGGAAACTAAGGCATTTTTTTAGGTATCTAGCTTGGGATTCCATGTGCATGGAATATCCTCCATATACAGGGTGTAAACGTTATGGTAGTCATTATTGAAATGGGTAATAGGGGGGGGGGGGGGGTAGTCAAAACAAGTCGTTCAATAGATTTTTGTCTGAATGGCTTTATAGTTTACAACTTTAAGTGCTTTATATCGACCACAATCACCACAATTTTACTAATTTTTATAATCTAATCTAAAACGTTTTTAAATTGGGTAATTAACAAATAAATGGCATTAAGTTTTTCTAAGTTGCGCCAAAATTTGTAGTCAGTAAGTAAGTAAGTTTCATTGAATTAAATATTTAAAACACACATGACCACAGCGCGTCGGTTTTTCATCACTCTTATCGAACCGGCAATCGATCGCAAACGGTAACATTGGTTAGTATGTTGTTTTGTTTTTGTTCGCGTACGTCGTCGTGTTTATTTACAATGTTCTCGAATCAAGAGTTCGCCGACATGTTGTTAGTTTACGGTGAACCTCGTCAGAATTCAAATCTTGCAGCTCAAATTTATCGCGACAAATTTCGTCAAGTGGAAACAGGACAGCGGGGGTGTAAGAGACAAAATGCGTGGCCAGAAAGAGACACACCAAACTGTTGGCGTTAGACGAAAAACCAAGGAAAAATTAGGGCTCGTCACCTGCGGGGTCAGTCTTTGAGTAACAGAGTATTTTGATGGTCGAACAATTGAACGTGAGCCACACATGGTGCTAAGTTATAATGGGCGATTTTTTTGCTAGTATCTTTTTGGCAACACTGTTTTTGACAGATGACGCGTGAATCGTGTCTTGTGTCATTGTCAAACTTGTTAAGTTTGGTCTATAATTTAACCATGAATCGACTTACGAACGAACATCGCTTGCAAATTATTGAATTTTACTATCAAAATTCATGCTCGGTTAAGAGAGTACATCCAGCACTGCTTCCAATTTATGGGCAATTTGGTCGGCCTACTGAGGGAGCTATTCGGAAGCTTGTGACTAAATTTCGAACCCAGTTTACATTATTGGACATTAAACCACCAACACGCAGACGTAGAGTGAGGACTGAAGAAAATATTGCGGCTGTATCCGCCAGTGTTAGTGATGACCGTGAAATGTCGATTCGCCGCCATTCGCAGCAATTGGGCCTCTGTTACTCCACTAGGTGGAAAATTTTGCGACAGGATTTGGGTGTAAAACGTTTCCAATTTGGTGAATGGGCGCTGGCAAAGTTGGAGGAAGATCCACATTTTTATCGAAAAATTGTGTTCAGCTACGAAGCTCATTTCTGGTTGAATGGGTACGTTAACAAGCAAAATTGCCGCATCTGGAGTGAAGACCAGCCAGGAGCATTGCAAGAGCTACCAATGCATCCCAAAAAAATTACTGTTTGGTGTGGATTATGGGCCGGTGGCATCATCGGGCCGTACTTCTTCAAAGACGACAATGGCCGTAGTAACTATGAATGGCGAGCGCTACCGTGCGATGATAACAAACTTTTTTTTGCCCAAAATGGAAGAGCTGGACTTGGCTGACATGTGGTTTCAACAAGTCGGTGCCACATGCCACACCGCACACGAAACAATGGCCCTATTGAGAGGCGAGTTCGGTGAACAGTTTATCTCACGTTTGAGGCCCGTCAATTGGCCGCCTAGATCGTGTGATTTAACGCCGTTGGACTATTTCTTGTGCGGCCATGTTAAGGCTAATGTCTACAGGTATAAACCAGCAACGATTGACGCACTGGAAGCCAATATTGAAGCATTTATTCGTGAGATACCGGCCGATATGTAGGAGAGAGTGTGCCAAAATTGGACCTTGCGCATGGGCCATCTAAAGCGGAGCCGCGGCCTACATTTACATGAAATAATCTTTAAACATTAAATTATATCGACCGTTCTATCGACTCAAATAAAGATTTAATCGTTTTTTCAAATTTTTTGTGTTTTTTTTGAAAATCAAATCCTATACCTCTTAAAAAATCACCCGTTACATCTTTTATTAGAGCAACTGTAAATAGGAAATGCTAGAACCACCTTATTTGCTATTTTTTCAAACGTTTGAGTGTCCTGTTTCCAACAAGATAATGTCCATACCCATATTGCTAGAGCTATAATGGACGCTTTCCTTTCGTATCGCCCATTGAATATGAATGGGATATGATGGGACCTTATACTCCTCAAACGCTAGCAGTTCTTTGAAACTAAGCTACTTTGGAATAAGATACCTCAAGAAGACCCTTGAAACAAAGCGTATTAATACTTGCGTGAAATATGTAGAAAAATGGAAAATACAAACCAAATGCAGGTCTATTGGAAAGGGCAGAGGGGTCA